GAAGAGAACAAACCAGGAACCAGTTTCCTTCTGTTAATTCAGGAATAACCAAGTTTGGGTCAAGAGAGTGCACCAAAACACAGCAACTTCTGAAGCTGGCATGCTCTGAGAACACTGCATTTCCCAGTGGCTGTGGCATGGGCTTGGATGACTTTACAAGACCTTACAAAGTCATACACATCAAATAACTGTCATAGCAGCCAGCACGATACTACTCAGCAACATGTCCGCTTTCCATCAGTGTACTACAAATCTCTCTCCTTGCTCCTCTGGCTGACCGAAAGCCTAGCAAGTCTATGGCCCTTTTCCATGGCTTGATTTTCAATTAAGAGGTAATGTCAGTGGAAGAGCACAGTCCATCAGATAGCGTTCCCCTGCTGTTGCAGATGGCAGAGATGTAGTAAGCAGAGGTCAACTACGGAAAATCTGTGTGCCTGGCTAAAAGATTATGTAATATGTTAGGCTAATTTTACTTAATTTCATATTCACATATATTAGTGTAGCTTTTGTTATATACTTATCCTTATGTAAGTTACATCTGTTCTTTTATTCACTCATCCATGTTTGCTCTGCTTTCAGATTTATGAAACAGGCATTCCACTGAGCTCAGCAAATGATGGGCATAATAACTTATCTAAATTGCAAAGTATGTGATGCCCTTGAGGTAAACTCAGATGTGAAGGTTTTATGAAGTGTCTCACGTGGAAGTGTAGGAAACTGTTTATTTGCCAACTCCTGTCTCTCCTTTGGCTGTTCAGATGATGTTAAGAGGATCCTATGAAACTGCTATGAAAGCCTAGGGGCTAAACGGAGGAGAGAAGTAGAACTACATTATCTTCATAGGGGAAGCAGAGCCATCCTGGCACTTGCACTTGTACAGCTTTCCTCTCTTTGGATGTCAAAAGTTTCTGGTTGATAGGCTCAAAAGTATCTATTTATTTAACAAAATGCCTCTCACTGTAACAATACTGTGAGGCTTTACTAATGAATTACTATCTTTTTATGAGATAGGAAAGTAATCTCTTTTTATTTTTATTTTTTTTTTCCTCTTACAAGACTCCAGAGAAGCAAAGGCCCTATAGAGGAAAGGGGGAGACTTCCTGGCATTTTATATATCTGAGATACTGTAAACCTCTCTGCCTGTCTAGAGCTGCTGTAAGGTCTTGCAATGGCCATGTGGAGACCTGGTCCCTTGAGTCACTGAGGGCCAAGCTTTACTGCTAGTCCCAGCATTTGTGTTCATGTCAGGTGTCACATCACACATAACCCTGTCAGCAAAGCAGCTAGTCGACTTGGCTACTATGGTAGCATCTCCATCTGCTTAAGATCCAGTGGCTGGACCAAGTATTGTGGGACTGAGCTGAGTTATCAGATGAGTTCCCCTCAATATCTCTTGAAAGTTTCCTGTTGGTTGATGGTGAGCCTTGTGCACCAGAGGTCATTGCTCAAACCACTGGGCTGAATCACTCTTGTTAAAATAAAAAAATCAAATGTAATTTGAATTAAGAAGAGAATTTACGCTTCAGAATCCAGCAAGCAAAAATACTTTTCTACCTCTGTTCACTGATGAAGGCTTAAGCCTTTTTAAAAGAGAGTGTTTGATGCTCTTTCTTGTAACATTTCCCATTGACTATTTCAGGAGGGCTTTCCGTTCACAAGGGTGGCTTCAGAGAAGTCCATTCTCATGAAATGTTGACGGTGTGTTATTTAAAGACCTTCACAACTCAACCTATAACACAATTTGAACCAAGCTAGTAACTAAAAAAAATAATTCCTAAGCCCTAGTATGGTGCCTTGAATCTTCTGCAAGGTTTGGGAATGTCTAACAAGTATAAAAAGAAGGAAGGCGGTAACTTTTTTTAGGAACGCACTTGTTCCTGAAGTAGACTGGGACTCGATCCCTCCATTAATTGCTTGAAAGGTCTTAGACCCAAGTGTCTGTTTCCCCAGATTGCTAATACAAATCTTACATTTTATCCAGGGGACTGCAAGGAAAAGTGTTGGTAAAATCCTGCAGAATAGGGATTTGGGGGAGACTGACTCAGCCTGTTTTTCCTGTCTCCGAGGCATTCTTCAGGGATATCTAGTACTTGGATAAAGCCTCTGTGGGAGGATGTTTCTTTATCTCCCAAGGTAATCTAGGCTCTCTTGGATCAGCTCTCCTTGTGGCTGTGGAGTCCTTATATTGAGAAAGGCATCTCCTGTGCACTGATGTTCTCTTTCCTCCAGCTAATTACGAGGTCATTTTTCAATTCTTTGTATTTAAAGCTTCCAAAAATAATTAGCCTGTTTGATAAGTTAGTTCGCTTAAAAACATAAATTTGTCAGTGAATTGGATGAGCAGCGGAGCACCCAAAACACTTGAAGCTACACATATTTTACTGCTTTGTCGGTCCTGTAAATTCAAAATTGCCCAGATTAATTTCGAACTAATTTGATAAGCCCTCCACCGTGACAAGAGGAAAAGTGTTCGGGTGTCAGGCTTTGTGCCCTTCTATGTCAGATTTCAGCCTGAATGAATTTTTTATGGCCGACTCCAGAATATAAAACTCTGAAAACAGTGGTTTGTAATGGCACTTCTGACAGACCCTTTAACCATTTGGAAAATAGGCACTGCTATAATTCTGCTGCATTAGAGAAAAACGTTGAGTGCCTTCATTAGGTGCAACAGCTGTTTCTATCGCAAAAGCCAAACTTCATTGGTGGTAGCGTAGCTGTCAGCTTTCCAGAGTTTTGCGTTTATAGCTGATTGTATAAACTCCGTTATGTTCTTTTTCGCTTTCCAATGTATGTAAATTAATTCAATAGCGAAAATACAAATAACTACCTTGTAACTAGAGCTGTGTGAAAGTTCTCTGTAGGCTCCTACAGTCAGCGTCACGCGATGAGCAAACTGAGAAATAACGAACTTTTCGTAACGGTTCTAGCACGAGTGACGTGCGGTAATCCACACCACATCAATTTTTAATCATCAGATTTAATCCTCCTTCTCAGTAATATGTTAGAGTTCTTTAACCTAGCGTAACATTCTTAATTAGAGCTGATTTTAAAAAACCCAACCCACAAACCAACAAAAAAATCCAGCAAAACTCCTGCCTAACTCTCTGAGTGTCTTCCTGTTTCCTCTACGCAAAGAGAATTTTTTCCTGAGAACATGTCGAATATGCCAATATTAAATTTTGGGGAAAAAGTAAAGTAGGAAAGAAATATTTCATGATGCTTTTCGTTTCTTTGTTCTGACATAATATAGAAAAAATATTTTTGTATTACGAAACACAGTGAGTTCTGCTTGGAACAACATGCTTTGAATCAAATAGTTATCTGAGTTGTCAAAAATGAAATCCAAAACTATGTTCAGAATGCAAACAATTTTTGAGGCACCAAATTTTAAAATGGATTCAGTAAATTTTATTCTTGAATATTGAATTATGCGGAGTTTCATGTGGTATAATGTAGGATACTAGTCCATTTTAAAATGTTGGCTTGATTTCCATTAAGACTATACTGAAGTGAAGGTATCTAGAGAAATATAAAGGATGGACATACATACATATTAATAAACTGAAGTATAGCGAATTGACTATTTGTAAATATTGACTATTTGTATTCCTCTAGTTATCAATGTTTACTATATATGGCAGGAAATATGTATGTAATTGTATAAATGTCAAATTCATTTCGCACATAGCGTTTGTGTTGCAAAAGATTCTCTTGTGACCTGTAGGCAGGTGCAAGAGATTTGGAGACCATCCTGGCACAATGTAAAAGCGATATGAATATTTATCCTTTGTTTTGCCTCACAAATGTTTGAAAAAGATGAAACACAGCCTGTCTATAATTTGGGGCATTTAGGTTTTGGTTACTTTCTGAAAACACTCTGTATTTGGAAAACTTTAGTAAGAGCCACTGCTCTGACAGCTAACCGAGGCAATACACCTTCACAGACTTTCTCTCAGAGGAGATGCCTTCTGAAATTTTAGTTTAAATCACTTGAAAATATGGACTTTGAAAATACCTTGACCCTCCACCCTGTGATTTCTTTTGGACATCGCTGTCTTATTTGCTTATCCTGGTCACACTGACCCAGAATGGCCAGATTTTGGGTTTTCAGTATCTTCCCTGAGATCTGTCTGTAAACCCTAAATCTCAAAGAAGGACAATTTCAAGTCCCCAGTGGAAGAAATTCAAACCCTCTGGTCTCCAGCCTCCCACTGCAGCCACAACTCAGAGCAAGCGTGTGTCCGTCTGGAATCTGACGGAGCCACGAGACGTAGGGTAGGATCAATGCTTTGAACCATGAGTAATATTTTCCCGTCCTAGTGACGTGTTGCTACCCTTTTCCTGAGAAGTGGCTGAATGTCAATGGTGTTGAGTGCTCAGAGCTGTGATTTGCTCTGGTTTGAAAGGCTTTGTGAAAGTGTAAGATACTCCTATGACATCCCAGCCTGACCTATTACTCATTACGTTGGGTCAGATTCCTCTGTACAGAGAACCAATGCAACATTTCCTGCATTTCACAAATCCTTTAAGAATTAAATTGACTGGTTGCTGTGCAGAGATGCCAGAAAGGTATTTACATGTCCCTTACCTCTCTCATCGCCAAAGTCTCATTTGAGCTCTACAAAGGGACTTAATTTGTTGGGCTGAATTTTACTCCTAACTACTCTCCCCCACACCCAATTAGCGCAGTACCCCTTATGACTAAGATAGAAGTATAATTATCAGCCAAAAATAAGCTATTCAGGTTGTTGGTGCCTTTTTTTTTTCATTAGATAACCACATGAGACCATCAACAAGGACAGATATCAACCATAAGGGCTAAAGCAAATAAAAATTATGTATTTGTGGTTAGTGCCTGAGCTCTAACAGAGTTCAAGGCACGCAGTCAGGTTTCAAATGGCACCTACTTTCTTTTCTGCCTTTTGAACAGACATGACTCAGGTGGACATTTACTCCCCAAGGAACAATATACTCTCCTGCCCTTTGCTGCAGGTTTTTACCTTCTCAATTTCATTCCACGCACGTTCTCCATCACTTCTTCCTGCAAGGGTGTCCATGGCATCTGCCATTAGTGACTGCAGCTGTGGCACCAAGATAAAAATTATCAGTGTGGAATTCACACAGAAAGAACTTCTCTAAATACACAGATTAAAACCTAATTAAAAAATCATTTGTACACTGATGATTTTATTACTCATCTTTCACACAATGAGCACTGCTGCCTCATCTTTGCTTCAGCCATTACACTGTATTATTGTGGATGTAGAATACTTAACAATGGGAAAAAATCCTCTGGAAAATTTGTATTTAAGCCTATAGGTTTTAGTGCAGTAAATGTTTATACTTAGTAAAGGAAGACTTGGGTTGTAAAAAATAAAGGCTCCGTATTTCATTCTTTAGCTGTCTGGGATATTCTGTGTCGTACACGAATGCTTTTTAGTATTTTCTCCCAAGGCTAATGTATCATAATTTAAAGCAGCATGTAAAACCTCACAAGAGGACAACACTAAAGCTGAGATGCTTTTACTGTAGCTGGAAGTAGCTAGCTCATTTTCCCTGCTTTTACTATCCTTTTGCTTTGGCAAACCCTCCCTTCTCCCCATCATTCAGCATAACAGAGCATAAAAACAAGGCTGACAATTTCTAGTGTAAACTATAAAAAGAAGCTGTAGGAAAATACTTGCTAACCAGTATAACTTCCCTCTTAGTGTTAGAGGGAAGGCTAAAATTCAGGTTAGTTGTAGTATTGCTTTACTCTAGTACCCTTTCAGGTTAGTCATATTATTGTCTCACTCCTGCACCCTTCCCAAACACTTGAAAATGTTTGAGTTGCTCTTGATTCAGTAACAGAGAGATAAGGGTTGGATACAGGGTGTCCTCCTATGAGCAGCCATTATCATCAGCATCTAGGAATGAGCTGGAAGAAACTTGTGTTTAACACCTGTGATCTTGCTGTGCTCTATTAGCTCTATTAAAAAATGTTTAGTTAAAGTGAACCCAAACGGTAGTTTTTGGTGTCTCTTCCCAAATTTGTTACTCATTATGAGACTGTACAGACTGCTCAGTGTAAGTGTAAGCATTCATAGAGAAATTGTCTCCATCTGTACATAGATGGGCAGCAGTCTCATATGAGTAGGTGAGGTGATGAAACTTAAAACATCAGCTTTTAGGCTCATCTGCTCAAGATATAAAAATGGTGCCTTGAGGTTCAAGGAGGAGATCTGTATTTCCTCAAGTTTTCCTTTGCATTCAGGTTTTAGAAGTCAAAATTCGTTGTCTGTGTCCCAAAATGGGATAAAGGATGCAGGAATCTTCATTTGAGTCTCTGAATAAATTTGCTTTGGTCAGTTCCAGCCTGCTTTCTCTCTGCTCGGGCACCCATTTAGTTGAATCTTCTTGGTCTAAACGTTTGATGAAACCTTTTTTTCCTAAGTCAGTCATGCATTAATATTCATGAAAAACAAACCTGCAAATTTCCGCCTCTGATTTTAATGCAAACAAAGTCAAGAACCTGTCAGAAATTTTCCATCATGATATTTTTATGACAGATCTCTTATGAATCCAGAATAGACATAGCCTGGAGATCAAGGGTATTAAGGGCAGAATGGGCAAAGCACAGATCCTGCGTCAAACCAGGCAGAGGGGGAACTGATCAGGGAAAGGGGAGAATTTCTCCATTGTTTTTCTTGGAATGATTTTCTCTGAAGAGCTGGTGGAAGAGCAGCCACCAGGACAGGGACCAGGACATCCATCTGCCACCCCCAAGGGGCTGCTCCAACAGCCCAACCTGGCTGGAGGCTTCACTGCTTCGGGCAAGAAGTTGAAACAAGAAACCTTTCCAATTAGAGTTTCACTAATGTTGATATGTCCCAGTGAAAAGTGCCCAGCATATGCTCTGGTTTTAATTTTTATCACCGAAAGTTTTTCACCAGCTCTATTGGCAGAGAAAACATGCACGCCACAAGAGCAGGCAGTTGGCAAACCACAGTTACGCTCCCAAAGCTGGTCTTTTTTTGGAAAATCCCCTCCAAGGAAAAATGTTGCATTCAAAAAATATTTTGTCCTCATTGATTTTAAATTGAAATAGATTTCTGCTTTTTTAACAAGCTTTCATCTTGATTTATGATGTACAAATATGGTGACATTGAAATCGTAAACCTTGGAAAGATTTTCTTCAGGGTTTTTCCCCACTTGTATTCAACTATTCAAGCTAGCTGGAATCTTCGTTTTCCCAGGGTCTATGAATAAATACTGATCTAAAAAGGCCTCAGTTGACGTTCTCTATGCTATAGATTAGGACTCTATTTATTTAGCTACAGGAAGACATTTACACAGACGAGTTTATAATTGAAATGCCTTTGGGATTCTTGCTGTATCAGGGCAAACTGCACTATTATAAATTCAGTGTGTTTTAAACTTTATACAACTTATACTGTATGTGATAATAAACATTTGGCATCTTTAGCATTTTCTAACTCACACAATTTAACTGCCTTCTTGGTCATAAAGTCTTATCTCAGTTTTACCAAGGTAAAGTTAGAATGACCTCAGAGGAATTACTTTAAATTTTTATTAGTACAACTGAGATTAGAATTTGGCCAGCTCAGTCTTCTTCATGGAAAAATTTAGCTATTTCTTAGAAATGTTGCTGTACAGCGAGAAGCACGTGGAGTCAGCATGGGTGCTGTGATTCTGACCCCATGGACTTGGCGGGGGGGGTGGC